AGGCAACTAGTAATCTGTTATTCAAAAATCATTAGTTTATAAGTTAATCATTGTACTGCACTTTAGCTGTTAAGTGCTTAGTAAAACTGTCCCAGGGGGGCTTTAACTACTTTTAAGTTGCTTTAAAGCACTGCTTTTTATAAAAAGCGACTCTGGACATTATTTTACTGCACTTTCTTGACTTAAGAACCCTGTGACAAATGTCACAAATTTAAGACACTGTGGCTTTGTGTGAACCTCATGACAAATATATTAAACACATTTCAAGCATAGATAAATATAGTAGAACACAACATTTTTAACTACCAATTTTCAAGTGCAATAATAAATAATTAAATATAAATTAAAACTTTGTGGTTTTCATTGTATAAATTGAATACAATTAACCATTCTTAAAGCTATACAAACCACATAACTGCTTTAAAATATCTTGGATAGTTACACATTGACAGGGCTTAAAGGGCCATGAAACCCCCTCGTTTCAGCAGGGTGTTTTCACACGTCTACTTTGGAAAAAGTCAGAAAAGTCGGCGCGTCCAGCTCTGTTTAGGGGGGAGTGTCGGAGGAAGAAAAGAGGCTTGGTGTGGGAGTGTCTATTTGGGCGCGCTGAATTTCAGAGTCAAAACACACAACCACATCAGACAAAGTGACTGTGTTTACATGGACATCTGTAGTTGAATTATTTGCCAAATTATTAAATGGTGGACTTTAACTGCAGTTTGGCTCTTTCATTCAGGGAATTCATTCATGTCCCTCGCAACAAACAAGATATTTGATTCGAGGAACTGCTCTAAGCGTGTATTTTCATGCAATGTTTGATACCGCACGGCGAATGAGAGGAAAAAAAACTCAGCATTTCCCGGAAACTTAGACGCACATGGCAGGTAGCGTCAGAAAGCCGCGTGTGTTATTCCGGTCACAAAATCCTACACGAGGTTATAGTTTGGTTGTAGTGCTAACTTGTTTACACTCGGTGCAATAGTTTTTTTCGATGCGAATAAAATACGAACTGAATAAACAAAGAGCACTGGTCGCTCACCAAATCTGTAGAGGCAGGACAATCCACAGCAACTAGAGCTGCGTCTTTATTAAGAGGAGACTAAAGCGAATCTGGATCTCAGCGTTTGCAGATGAGAACAGCTCTCAGGTAAACAATGTTCCTCCTTAGACATGTAAGTTATTGTTGTCGAGCGTCACGTACACTGTTAATCCACACGTGACGCCAGCTGCGATCTCACAGAGAGAAAATGAAAACAAAACTTAACGGCAGCAAACTATAAAAGCAACACTTCACGCTTGTTTTGCCAACACAACGTGGCGTCTTTGTCATCTAAACACTGTGACAGTAATGAATATTAATGAAGTGCTGAAAAAGAGTACTGAAAAATCATACTCAAGTAAACATACCATTACTTACCCAGAAAATGTAATGCAAGAGTAAATGTATCTGTTGTAAATATTACTCAAAGTATGAGTAAAAAGTAGCCCTTTTAAATATACTTGAGTAATGAATAGTGAGTGAGTACACTGTGAAAAGTTTATCTATTTACATGCAGTTTGTGCAGGGATGTGTAAACGTAACATTCTGTAGTGCATTTAGTGATCTTCCAATATTCATTTGTTCCTTCCATTGTTTGTTCTGTCCTTCCTTCCTTTTTTCCTTCCTTTGGTTCTTTGTTCATTTATTAATTCTTTCATTCCTTCCTTTGTTCCTTAGTTCCTTTAGTCCTTCTGTCAATCTTTCCTTAATTCATTTTGTCATTCCTTCCTTCCTTTACTAGATCAGTTCTTTCTACATTTGGTCCTTTCTTCCATTTCTTGTTTGGCCCTTCCTTCATTCGGCCCTTCCTTCCATTGTTCATTTGTTCTATTTAGTGATTGTTTAAGGCTGTTTTGGTGATTTCAGTCATTATACAGTGGAAATCCTTCATTTTCTCATCAGTAACATGCAGTCTATAAACAGTCCCTGAGTCATTGTGTGTAAAACTGACAAACATGTCCAAAAGGTCTGCTGCATTTTTAAAGCGCAGATATTTTGAGGTTGTTCAGTATGATGCAATTTACTTTCTATGTGCAATTTGAAAACAGAAAACGCAGGAATGAATTTTCTACTTTAGCCAATTACCATAGACGAGAAAGAAATAAAGTAGTGACTGCAGGTAGAAGTACAAAAGTAAGGGCGTACTCACACTATGCTATTCTTACCGTGCCCAGGCCCGTTTCCCGGATCGTTTGAGAAGTGTGAGTGCGCTGAATCAGGCTCAGGCACGGTTCACTTGACCGGCCCTGGCCAGGTTGGAAGAGGTGGGCCTGAGCGCGGTTCACTTGGGCTTTGGCGCGGTACGCTTGTGTGTGAGTGCAAAACGCGCCAAAGCCCGAAACTGAAAGCGAGATGGGACTTAAGGGACTGTTTCATATGGATTTATTAATCAATCTTACTGTTCAGTGAACGTAAACTGCAATAGTTTATTAAATACCCAAACCACTCACTGCACGACAGCTGTGCACATTCAGCAAACCTCCTCATTCCTGCAGCACTAGGGCTTTATGATTGTTTATGAGCGCCAAAAGTGGCGGATCTGTTCGGCGAAATATCTGACTGCATGTCACCGCATCCTTCAGGACTGTTATCAAACGACTGAAACGATATAGCTAGAGAAATCTCCATTGTGCTGAGCGAGAGTGCTCATTAAAGTGCAGCATCGATGACGTAAGCGTGCCCAGGCCCGATTGTAGTGTGATTGCGGGCTGTCGGGGGAGACGGGAGGGGGGACAAGCGTGCTTTGGCCCGGTTCGAGACAACTGTTCATAGAGTGAGTACGGCCTAAAAGTACCAATAAAAATGTACTCAAGGGAAAGTAAAAGTACGCATTTTTAAAGCTACTTAAATTACAATTCCTTTGTGTAATTTTTTTCTTTACAAGACTGCCATCTGTATGGGTAAACTTTCCAGTTAATGAATGTCTGGTGGGTTATGATCCCTACTTGACATCACACATCCATCCTGTGATTTGAATATTGCAGACACACATTGCATTGCGCTCAAATGAGATATGAACTTTTGAGCAGACCTATTATTAATCTTTTAAATCTTTTCTAAAAAAAAAAAAAGTAAAGTGGTTAAAAAAGATGAATCAAGACATTGGGTGTTAATGGAAATGTGTCTCAGATGTCAAGTGATCTTATTGACCAAAATCAGTTCTTAATTCTCGATGTACACAGAGCTAATATTGCTTAGGTTCCTCAGTCATTTTACATTTACATTTACATTTACATTTAATCATTTAGCAGACGCTTTTATCCAAAGCGACTTACAAATGAGGACAAGGAAGCAATTTACACAACTAAGAGCAACAATGAATAAGTACTAAAGGCAAGTTTCAGGTCTGTAAAGTCTAAGAAGGGAAGTATTAGTAGGTTTTTTTTTTTTTTTGTACAGTTAGTGTGATATTCAAAGAGGCAATTGCAGATTAGGAAGTGAAGTGGAGACTAAAAAGTTGAGTTTTTAGTCGTTTCTTGAAAATAGCGGCTGCAGTTAGGGAGTTCATTCCACCAACTGGGCAGATTGAGCGTGAGCGTTCGCGAAAGTGATTTTTTCCCTCTTTGGGATGGAACTACGAGGCGACGTTCATTCACAGAACGCAAGTTTCTGGAGGGCACATAGATCTGCAGAAGTGAGTGCAGATAAGAAGGTGCTAGGCCAGAAGTCACTTTGTAGGCAATTTTAGGTTCATGTTGTACTTATTTCCGTCAGGAAAAAATCTGCTAAATAAGTGAAGTAATAATGAATTTCTCCTTAGCAAGATGCTCAATTTGAGGCATAATTCATGCCAGGGCTGACAATTATATCATTTGACCATCGATATTGAAATTATTTATTAAAGATTAAAAGATAAAGATATATTATTTCATTTGTAATGATTTAATTATTACATATATATATATTTTTTATACAATGATGACTGTGATATTTTAAACTTGATTATTTTGCATTTCTGTACTTGATTACTCTTAGACACCCCCAAAAAACATAAAGGACTCTTTATTTTTTATTTTTTGCTTGTAATTGATCATAATTTATGCAGATGCACTGTATAGAAACAGTCTTGACCATCCCAGTCAGTCTAAACGTATGAAATCTTTCCAAATAGAGCCAATATTATTCATATTGCAAAATATATCACAGCAAAACAAAATATCGTGATGTCAGATTTTTTTTTATAAGTTTTATACGTTCAGCTAACTTTCAAACTGAGCTTTTGCAATCAGTAATGGACAGACTTTCAGTATTCAGGTCAATATCATACATAATCTACATTTTAGGGAGATTAAAGGACGAGTGAGGTGCATGTTGCTCTAAATGCACTTATGCGTGTGTTTGTTTGTAGGGCCATGACACATTTCTTCATCCATATGCTAATATTAGTGCACTGTGTGTAAACCACTATCCTTTGCTGCCTGGAGATTTAGGTGGTAAATCACTTCAGTCTTCTTAGCTGTAATCCTCCCCACATCTGTGCCCCTTTTCTTTTCCTCTTTACTGCTCTAATTCCAGTATGGCACAGTTGGCTTCATCCATCCAACTCAGGAAACATTTTGTTTGTACACCCTTTTTCTCTCCCTGAGGCCTAATCCACTTCAGGTCGTTCTGCAGGGCTTTCAGAGAGCTGGTATTGTCTCCTTCCAGCGCGTTTGTGTCGCTCGTGGTTTGTGACCTTCTCTGGATGGTTTAGAGGCGTGTGTGTGTGTGTGTGTGTGTGTGTGTGTGTGTTGGGTGGGGGGAGGTTCAGCAGTGTAATCTGCTAAGTGTCTCCCACTGCAGAAACAGCAGCACTGATTCAGCTTAGCCTGAGCAGACCAGGCAAATCTGCAGTAATCCTCGCCACAGAACCCAGTCTGACTGTCCCACCATCTGGAACAGCGCCACCTCGTGCATATGTACACCCCATTGATAACAGACCCATTATATTGCTCTGATTCTTGCATCTCTATTTCTGCAGCAAAACACGCCGCCAATGGAAACACTACAGTGGAGCCGTTTCCTGACGGGATGGAGATGATTATGTTTGGTGAGTTTGGAGAACGTCGTATTTAGGGCATCCTTGGGTGCAAATAATGGCTTCTTGAAGGTGCAACTTGTGTCAGAGTGGCGCCTCATGCAAGTTCTGGATTTGAGACCCGGCCACTGTCACGATCTCATCTTCTCTCTTTCTCATCTTCATTTGTGGCTAATAGCCCATTTAAACGGACAGAATCATCAGTGTCCACACAGTAGTTCTGTTTCAAGGCCTAGTGAGCCTCCGATATAGAAAAAGATTATGTTCTCTAGTTCGGATTTTATAAGCCTCGTTTCAGAGCATTTAATGGAAAGATCAAATAAAATGACCACCCATCGATGTTTCCCTCAAAAAAAAATAAATAAATAAATAAAAATCAGCAATGATGATGAAAATTGAAAAAAGCGACTAGTTGGAAAAGCATTAGTTGTAAACTGAAATTTGTCTGTCTTGTCTACTGTACACAGGGCCTAAAGTTTGTCCAGTGTCCTAGGAGGTCACTATTGCTATCAATCCAAAAAGCATGAAGACTACATAGCACACTCAGGCCTTGTTTACACTAATACGTTTTAGTTTTAAAACGCATAAGTTTTGCTATATTTACGCCTTCCATCCACATTACCCCAGAGTTTTTGAGTGGTTAAAACGGAGCGTCTTAAAAACACTGAAGAGGCCATTTTGATTTTAAAGGCTTTTAAAATGCTCCGTGTCAGTGTGGAAGGGGGTAAAATGGACACACCTGAAAACAGAGGCATGAATGCAGACATTCGCTAATGTCTAATCTAATTCGTTAATCTGATTGGGGCTTTTCCCTCAATATTAAGTGCACAAAATTTAGTCTTGCATCCTTTCCTTGTAAATTTGATCGCTTGATATGGAAAACAAACTCCCGAGGACACGTCGGGTAAATCTTCAAAGAGAACAGTGTACTTTATAACCTCATATTAACAATAAAATGAAAACAATAATAATGAAATGCCTATTTCCATTTTGACTTTACCAACTTTACAGACACCAAAAATGTTAAGGCATTAAGTCTAGCTGCATATTTACATGACTATAACCTTTATATTCATAACAAAACAGAGCCTGTAACATAATTGCCTCCTTTTATTTTCATTGAAAAATGCGAAACAGACCCTGTGTCTTTGGCTGAACATCAGTTTAATAAACAATAATAGTCATTATAAAAGTATTATGTAGCCTACAACAAGTCTATTCCAAGGGTTCCCAAACTCGGTCCTAAAGAGCCGGAGTCCTGCATAGTTTAGCTCTAACTTCCTTCAAAACATCTGCCTTAAAGTTTCTAGTATACCTAGAAAGAACTGCTTCTGGTGTGTTTAATTGGGGTTGGAACTAAAATACGCAGGACACCGGTCCTTCAGGATCCAGTTTGGGCACCCCTGGTTTATAGGAAATAAAGGAAATAAAGGTAAGCAATTAGTCCAATGTACGGAATCAGTGTACATGGTTACATACATTAATATATTAACTTATCTTTGCGCTCAGCCAAAAATGCATTACCCGAGAACAAGTAATAGATTCAAAAGACCAAAGAGTCGTTAGATAGAGACAAGATGAATTAAATATCATGTTAAACAACTATAGTTAGATTAGATCCAGCTTTCATCCTTGATGAACAGTCGGACGTGTGCTGCTCGCACCAGGGGAGGTGTGCTCAAAGTACCCGCTGACTGCCTGGAGCTCAGGCCTCTGCAAACGCTTTTTTGCATTTTCAGCTGTGTAGTGTGGATGGAGAGCTGTTCAGAAATGCTTGGTGAAACGCCAGTGTGGATGTGAATCGTTTTTATTCTATAACATTGTTTTAAAACTAAAGTGTATTAGTGTATACGGCGCCTCAAATGTTGGATAAAATTAGATCAGGGGTGTCAAACTCTTGGAGGGCTGCAACTTCACATAGTTTATTTTCAACACACCTGCAAACAAGACTGAAGGACTCAATTATTTTGATCAGGTGTGTTTAATTTTGGTTGGAATTAAACTGTGCAGAGCTTCGGCCCTCCAGAGTTTGAACTGAGTTTGACACCTGTTAATTAGATGAAAAATTCTAATAAAAATGGTTGGTTGTCACTACCAACAACTAGGTTCGCAAGGAATCTGCACCCTCGGAAATCCACAGAAAACTCAGCAGAGTGTTGACCCTATCATATAGATATAAAGTGGTATCATATAGCCAGAGGTACGAGTAATTTCAGGCTTGACTTTGTATATATTATTGGATGTATTATTTATTAGGCCTACTCTAGATTTGCTACCCATCAAGTGGTTCTAATTAGTTGAATTTACATTTTTAAACATTCAAATTTTAAAAAGTTGTTTTGTATTTAAAATTTGCAGCTTCTATACTTGAAATCATTCAGATGAAATCCTCAGATTTTTTTTATTTTTAACAGATATGTAAAAATCTGCAGATTCAATCTGGCCCTCCCAATAACCAATATATTTGCAACCTGATAACCGATCTATAGGCTGTTAAATGTAAATTTGGATATGATCACAAAAACAAAAGGCAAACAAACAATGGACAACTGATTTAATTTTACAACCTTAACATCAGAAAGCAGAAAACTATATGCAAAGTTTTTGATGATTTAGCAGCTTGTATGTCAAAAAATCTCTAAAGCAGAAATAAAATGTTTTATTTGATGAAAATCAAATGTCTTCATTCAGGCATGGGCTGTTTTTGGGGAGCTGAAAGGCGTTTCTGGAAGATCACTGGTGTGTTTTCTACACAAGTGGGCTATGCTGGAGGCTTCACATCTAACCCTACCTACCATGAGGTGTGTTCAGGTAAGTCCCAGCCATGCTAGAACATCCAATCAAATACAGATCTACATAAACATACATTTTCCCCTTTCTATTTAACTCTACCCACTCGTTTACCTCCCATGTCAAAGAGGTATCTGATGATGATTTCCGCAGCAAAAAGCCACAGACAGCCACTTCCACCAGCAGCAGCTTCACTGTACCCAAATTAGTGCTTTGCTGCAGCCTTCACCAAAACATTCCCTTCATCTGCAGTGAACTACCCAGAGTGCACTGCTCGCTCCCAGATCCGCAGCCCTTCCCCCCCTTCCTCTGTATGACCTACTTGTAGCCAGACAGTTCAGAGGAGATGAGATGGAGGGAGGGATGCAGCTGTGATGTTGCAGTTTCTGAACTGGTCCCAGTGAGGAGGTTCTGACTGCAGCTCTGCAGAGGGTTGACTCTCTCCACACACACAAACAAACAAACACAGGCTCTTTTAAGTGTGTAGTGTTGAGAAGAGCCGTGGCTGTCAGCGCTGTGTTGGGGTTTGGGTTAATATGCAGACAGGCTTTGTTATTTATGAGTAGCGAATGCACAGACAGATACAGTTTCGTATAAATGTCAGTAAAATGTTTTGTCGTTGATGCGTACGACAGAATGGGTTTTATGGTTTTAATAAAGGTTCATGAAGGTGTTTGTTGTTAAAAAACAATTTCAATGTATAAACCTGTGTGGGATCTCTGAATGCACCTGATAAAGTTATCATTATAACCACAAGAAATACAAACAAATACAGCACCATGCAAATGTTTAGAGATTCTTTTTATGATTGTATGAAATCTTTTTTAAAAAAATTAATATTTTATTTTTAGGCTATTTTGTTTTTAATGGATTGGTAAAGACTGATAATGTACTATTCAGGCCCGTAGCCAATCTGGTCAAAGGAGTGATTCTTTTTTCTCAAAAAAGTGGACCTTTTTGCAGTTATTCACCTCATTTTCTATTTAATTATGAGATTTAAATATCTTTTTAAGATATTTTTCTATTTTTGGTGACATTTTAATCACTCTTTTTAGCTTCATTAGCTTGTCAGGTGGTCACCATAATCCTACTTTTTCATATACCAAAATATTTACTAAATATTTAGAATAAACAAATATTTTTTAATGCAAATGTATTACATCCTATATGATTAGAAAAAAAATTTAATTAAAAACTGTAGCTTATTGTAATTTATTAGGCAAATAAAAAACCTGCCTGCACAGAATCTGGCCATTTGAATAATAAAGTCAAAATAGTATTCAAATTGATTTTAATATGGGCTGCTTTTGATGCATCACACTTTTTAATTGGTCATGCCTTCTTTTGAGAATAAAGTCCAAGATTTAGAAATAAAGTTACTTGTCAAATGTTTTCTCTGTTTAAAAGCATAACAGTAGCGAAAGAAGACTTCGCTTATGTCAGAGGTTTTCTTGCACAGCTGGATATTAGACTCTTGAAAAATAATTGTTTGCATTGGCCAAAACTGATTAAGTCACACCAGGATTCCGCTTGGCCCTAAAGCCTTTTTCGATTGGTTAATTTTACTATTTATGCTGAATTACATAGCAAAAAAATGCTTTTCTTACTTAGATTTTTGTTTTGTTTCTAGTCCAAATATCTAAAAATTCTTATATTAAGAAGCATTTTCTAGGCTAACAAAACATAATGTCTTGTTTTCAGAAATAATGAGTCAATATTAAGTGAGTTTTTCCTTAAGCAAAATAATCTTGTTTTTCCTTTTGACATAAGATTATTTTGCTTCATCTATTGGCAGATTATTTTGCTTGTTGTAAGGTAAAACACTTAATTTTGGCATAATATTTCTTTAAACAAGACAATATATTTTGCTTGTCTAGAAAAATTCTACTTGATGTAAAAAATTTTAGATATTTGGACTAGAAACAAGACAAAAAAAATCGAAGTAAGAAAAACATTTTTTGCAGTGTAGCAGTCAAAATAGGACAAACGAATGAGAAAGATTCTGGACCTTTGTCAGTCAAAGGTGGGTGATTTGTTGTCCTACTTGACAACAATATCTTAATGTATTATTTAAGGTATTAAATATTAATAACTTAGTCCTTATAGACAATTAGTTTAAAATACATTATTAACAAAGTGATACTGAATAATAAACAGAATATCCATTATGATCCTGTGCGCGTATGCGTATTTGTAGCAGTATGTCAAGAAAAAATCGTTCAAAACATCTTAATATTTTAGAGAAAGTAGTCAAAGTTTAACCAACTATTAACTATTATCTTATCTACCCGCAACTCGACCATATCGTTAAACTTTTTGATTACCTGACACAAGGATTAATGACAGGACTCTCATATATAACTAAGAACCCCACATAACAGGGTTTTATGCGTTCCCAATATGGAATGTATAGAGAGTGACTCCATAAGGTAACATACACTAAACACTTAATTATGTACATGGACACGTGTCAGCACAAGGATAACTTATGCTTTAAATGTCAATGCTTAATATGTAATCAATAAGGTCTTTGAATTTACAGAGTTATCAACAATGTATGTATATTTTTGGTTCGGTACAGACTTCTGTTTTTGCTACAAGCAAAAAATAAAACCTCCTTTCAAATTAGTTGCACTTTCATTGAAACCAAATGTATGAAGTATTGAAATCTGTACTCTGTATCTGCTAGTACACAAGGTAAAATACTCACTCTTATTGGTTTGTAAAAAAGTGGTATCGGTTCATCCCTACTTATTAGCATATACGTTTAATTTGATAACAGATAATTAAACATATCCAGTGAAATAGCCACTATTTTCAAGAGTGTTTTCATAATTAAAATACTTAAATAAAAAAATGTAATTCATGTGTATCACCACTTTAAGGACACAAGGAAGAATGGCATTTAATTGTTAAATTTAGCATACTCCGTACAAAAAAACTTAATGGCCACATAAAAGATTCATTAAAATCCTCCTGAAGATCACTTAACATTTGCACAGCTCTATTTGTGCCTGATCTCATTTATATTTCTGCCATTCCCTCCAGGTTTAACAGGGCACACGGAAGTAGTGCGAGTGGTCTTCTCTCCCAAAGATGTCAGCTTGGAGAAACTTCTCAAAGTCTTCTGGGAAAGCCACGACCCCACTCAAGGTCAGCAAACACACCTATTTCCTCAAATTTACACACATGCACTCACACAGATGTCCATAGAAAGACCCCTGGGTGCAGGATGCATTGGTCCAAAAGCAAACGGCCTCATGAGGTTAAAACACGGCTACATCTGTGTGCTCGCACTGCCTGTGTGCCGGATGGTCCGGTGGATCTCGCGGGAATAGGAACAGCCTCAGACAGGCTATGTTAATGTGTCTGAGACCAATTCAGCCATGAGAGGGAAAGAGACATCGCGGATGTGTGTGCATTAGTGCAAGCGTCACCTATTCCTCCAATCTAGTAGAAACAGACCCAACACACAGCTGAAATTTGCCGTCTGTGTTGTCCTTCAAGGGCTCATTTGAGAATTGATCAGCCTAGCTGCCTGTCACAAATCCAGGGCTAAAAATGAGACCCCCAAGAAACCCAGAATACAATTAGATTTAAAAATTAATTCACTCCATTAAGTTAATTGGTTGATTTCTTATTATTCTTATTCTGTCTGTCTGTCAATTTATAAATGTTTCCACGTGTCTGTCTGTGTGCCTGTCTGTCCATTCTTCCAGCTACATTATCTGTCTTTCCTTGTTCATCAGTATTTTCTTCATCTGTATACCCATCCATTTATTGATACGTTTGTCAGTCTACATGTCTATCTGTCATTTCCTTTATATGTGACCATGGTCCAGAAAACCAGTTATAAAGATCAAATTTGGTAAAACGAGATTTATACATAATGTAAAAGCTAAATAATTAAGCTTTCTATTGATGTATGTTTTTTTATGACAGGGCAATGTTTAGCTAAAACACAATTATTCACAAATGTGGAATCATAATGTGCAAAAATAATATATGTGTGTATATATATTAGTTTTCAATTTTATATAAATTATAATATGAATATTGAAAAATTGCATTTAAGCTCTAAGAAGTGCATATTACTAATAAAGAAAAATGTTTTAATATATTTATGCAAGGAAATTTACTGAATGTCTTTTTGGAAAATATTGAAATTATTCATTTTCTAAATATTTTTCTCAAAATTAAAATCTTTATCTATTCAATGTATTGTTTTAGTTATGTCTATCACATATACTTCCATTTAGCTTTCTGCACACCTGTTTGTCTAGTCCAAAAAATATATATAATAATAATTATTATTTATATATATATATATATATGTGTGTGTGTGTGTGTGTGTGTGTGTGTATAGATATGTATGTATGTATGTATGTATGTATGTATGTATGTATGTATATATATATATATATATATATATATATATATATGTATGTATGTATGTGTGTGTATGTATATGTATATATATATATATATATATATATATATATATATATATATAATCTCTCTGTCCATTTATTATAGCATCTGACATTTTGACTTTTGTTCACCTATTAATATCCTTCATTAATATCCATCTGTATATTTTGCAATGAATATTGTCAATGCTGCTGAAATGCCATTAAAACATAAATCAAAAGACTTAATACATTTTTTTCAGGATTGATAGAAAGTTCAAAAGAACAGTATTTGTTTGAAACTAACATTGCATTTTCACAGTGTAAATGTCTTCACAGTTACATTTATTCAATTGAATGCATCAATTCTAAATTGAAGTATTGATTCATTATAAAAAATCCTTAATAGCCTCAAACTTGCTTGTATGTACATTTATTTAACCTAATTAGCATATATGTTTCATTTGATAACAGATAATTGAACAATTGTAGTGAAATAGTCCTTATTTTAAAAGGTTTTCTAACTACTAATTCATGCTTAATTGTCTCTAAAAGGACACAATGAAGACTTTGAATTGATAAATTTAGCATACTCTGTACAAAATAACCTAATGGCCACATAAAAGGTTAATTAAAATTCTCCTGAATTATTGTATATTCTTCGTCTATCTAGTCTCTCTTTCCGTCTGCATATTTTTAATTTGTCTGTGTGTGTCTGTCAGTCAGTTCTATCTGTCGGTCTATACAGTCGAAGTCAGTAATATAAGCCCCCCCTTTGAATTTTCTTTTTCTTTTTTAAATATTTCCCAAATGATGCTTAACAGAGCAAGGACATTTTCACAGTATGTCTGATAATATTATTTCTTCTGGAGAAATATTTGTTATTTGTTTTATTTGGCTAGAATAAAAGCAGTTTTTATTAAAAAAAAACATTTTAAGGTAAACATTTTTAGCCTCTTTTAAATGTGTTGAAGAAATCTGCTCACCTTTAAACAGAAATTGGGGAAAAAATAAACAGGGGGGCTAATAATTCTGACTTCAACTGTATATGCGTCTTACTATCACTCAGTGTATCCATCTATCGTCCATTGTTCAGTCGGTCTGTCCGTTCATCTGTCTTTCTATACCTCTGTCTCTCTCTGTCCATCCATCTCTAAATTCACCTGTCTGTCTGTTTCTGCCCATCCATCTACATGCTATGTCTGTCTTTCAGTCTGTCTGTCTTTCTGATGTAACATTGTGGCTGCAGCATGAAGCTGTTGTTTGGCTCTCAGTGTTCAGTCACCCTGAAACAGAGAGAGAAGAGAGGAAGAGACACTCCTCTGAAACATTCATAAAGCCTGACCCTGAGGACCTGAAGTGCGCACGCTCACACACACACACATCTTTTTGGCTCTCCTTCATCAGCTGGACTGTGGAACTACAGTCTCAGTTTGAATAGTTTATATGACGTCTGCGGTTCGTTCAGTCAGACCTTGCAATAACTTTCACACTTTTTTATTATTATTCTGGAAGGTGCACAAATACGGTTTGCGGATCAGTAATGCATGTCTATATATCTGCCAGTAAAAGACACGCCCCTAAAACCTGAGTCGGAGTGCGGTTTTAAGAACCGTGGAGTGGTTTTCGACTCTGAATCTTTCAGATGTCAAATCAGAGCTGACATGATTACCCCGTGTGTTCGCTTCTGTGCCAGCTCTCTAATTCACATCATGTTCTGAAAGTGTCTGAACTTTAAAAAGTCACCCGAACACCGTCACCCTGTCAGCCAGAACGCCCCAGAAAGTAGAGCGTAGAAAATTACTCATAGGAGCCAGGGTTATTTGTCAGAAATGGCCTTCAGATGTGATTAAACATCTACCCTGCGCTGTTTTCTTTTACCTATGAGACTATCGGGGATGTACAGACATATGTTTTCAAAATTGACTCGGATGTGTGTGTGTGGGTTGACTAGCTGGTCTTAAAGGGATCCATAATATGAATCTTGACATTATTTACTCACCCTCAAATCATTCCAAACATATGTAACCATTTTTTTTAAATGAAAAAAATAAGACTTTTTGAAGTAGATTGAGGTCTTTACAACATTTTATTTGTCTTTCATTGTCTGTGGATTGTAACTCTTAGTATTTCACAGGAAGAAAAGAATATGAAGCAGATTTAGACCAAAATGGGAGTGGTTATATGATGAGGTCATTTCAATCATTGGATAAACTATTCCCTTGATTTAATTTTAAGGGGGTATTTGCATAAGTTTTATTTTTCCCTTTTTAGAAAGCAGATTTACAGAGAGAATAGCACACAAATCAAGACAAATTTTAACATAACTCATAACTTCATCTTGAAAAGGTATTGCAAACAAAGACTAGCTGTTTAAATATAGTGCAGCCTTTTATTGTGATAAATTATTGATGTTTGACTAGACAAAACTAAATAACTATAACATTTTACTACACAAATCTGTTATTGTCTTCATAAAAAGCCTGCTAATCTTCTGTAGTACTGTTATGGAAGCTTTGCTTATAGCAGAACATTTGATGTACGACTGTATTTGTCTAAATATGTTGCAAAATTAAAATGATCCCTAAAATATAAGTGGTTCTCTACCTTTTTTTTTAGATGTCAAGGCCATCATTGTCAAAGATGATGCCTAAGGCACCCCTAGATTTTTCCAGTTTCCCTTCTGAAATAGAGAGTGGTCATTTTTCAGGCTTTTTTTAAGGAAGCTCATAATGGCAGTGTATTGAGATGATTCAATAACATGAGTGGTCATTTAAAGACTTCCATAAGTCTTATATTTGTACACCAGTCAACTTCTCTGGACATTTTGTAATTATAGACTACAGTTAAAAAAAGAAATCACTTTTTGGAAATCCCCTCATTTATCCTAAATAGACCCAGTCTACTGATTGAAAACCAATTTTGACCATCATGACCAATTAGTAACAAACAAACACACATCGATATGAGAAAATGTGTTCAGCATGTAGAAAGCTTGCTCATCTAACAGGTGCATTGCAAGCAGCATTTCATCATGTACTAAAGCAAATTGTGTGTCACTGTGCACCGTTTGGCATTTTTAGGCCGTGTTTCATGACCCTGCAGGAGTTTGGGTAGGGAAGCACGATGAAAAGCATGGCCCATGTGCGTGACAGAAGCGTCAGATTGTGTTTTTGGCGCATATCGCTGCGCAGCGATTGGCTGCTGAGGATCGAGTACGTCTCTGTAGGCTGTTCATCCATGCATGTTTAATGCACACTCCATTTGTCCGCACCCGAATGCTCACACTGATGTGTTGCTTTAGTCATTACTTTACATGTATGTACAACTGTAACTGTGTGCTGTTTCATAGGCTGCGTATGTGTACGGTTGTTTCAGTTATGCTTGAAGACCTGTGTATTCAACTGCTGTCTCACAGTTCAAAGGGTTCTGCTTTCAGCAGCATGATTTCCGAATCGCCCAATCACAGCTTGGATGGCAACATCCACAGCCAATCAAATGCTCCCAGCACGTACTCTTCGTACCCCCATCTCATACCCAGCAACACTTGCTCTGGCAGAGTCTTTAGGTCATGGTATTGCGAACATGCGGCAGCTTCTCCATACCCTATGCTCATTTTTCTAAAAATATAAGCTGTATTTCAAGCCGTCATGCTACATTTTTGGCAGTGCTGACAAAGATAGTTCAGGAAGCTGAGGGTGAGGAGACACGAGTAAGGAAAATTGGGTTCCTGGATGGATTTGA